ATGAAAGTTTTGTCATCGGCTACATTTGAGCATATATCTATCTCAACAACGCTCAAAAGTCAAATAGGAAAATTAAAGAGTTGAGAAGAGGTAGTTGTATTATGGGTCTTTTTTTTTCAAAGAATCTGCCAACTTATTGATCTTTCGAATAACATGTCAGAAAGATGTGGATTCAGAGGAGTGACCTCTGTTTGATGTCACATATTCGAATGTATTTGTTGTTATTATTTAAGTGTTTTCTTTTATGAGATTAATCGTCAAGAGATAGTCTAATTCCAGAGCAAACAAGGATAATTTAGAGAGTCTATTGAATTGATTTCGTCCATATTTAATAAGTTTATGTTATCCTAATCCATATAAGCCTAAGTTTTCAAAACCAACGTGACTACTTTGTATAAAATAGGAATTAAGAGACTTTTTTAAAGGTTATTTTTATGTATAATCTAAGCATAGGCTTATATTATGGCCCAAAGCCCAAATATCAATCCAAACTTACTATAAAATTTATTAGTTTTTTTTTATCTTTTAAAATTCAAAACTTACACATCAATTAACAGGTCTTTATTGAAATTGAATGAAATATTTAGGTCTAAATACTATTTTGATATCAGCTTTAGTTTATTTTAGTATTTGTATTTTTAGAATGGGTCTTGTATCTGTTCACTTAGTTTTGTACTTTCAAAATATCTATTTTGATCCCTATACTTTTTAAAAAATAACTAATTGGTCCTTATTTGCAAAATTTTAACACAAATTTTTAAATGATGAAAATCTTTAGTACAAATTTATGGCTACATTCCAAGAAACTTAGTCGATGAAGTGTCGTGCTAAAATTATAATTGAAAGAAATGAGATAAAAATAAAGATGAATAGATAAAAAATTGTCAACTTTTAAAAGTCCATAGATTAAAATTGATATAGATTAAAATTGATATTTCAAAAGTATAAGAACCAAGATGAATAAAATTTAGAATTCATTTTAAAATTACAGGAAACGAAATACTATTTATAATCACTTACGTTTTGATTTTTTTATTACTGTTTTTTTGTTCATATATTTTCCTTCTTTATTTGATTTTATTTGTTTAGATTTTTTTCAAATATGTTATCGTATCTCTCTCCTTCGATCTCTAAAACCTTTGGACCAACAGCATCGTGAAGTTTCCATTGGTTGGTTTAAATTTGATTTTGTTTTCATTCTTTTCTCGTTTATCTCTCAATTCCTCTATGTCATTATTGGGTTAAAAGCACAGTTTTAAATGTTGATGTCGATAGAAATATCGATAAAATGTTGATGTCGATGAATATTTCTGTAAAAGTTAGAAAAGTTTTAAAAAAATCATAAAAGATATTTAAATTAACAAATAAACATTTTCATATTTCCAAATTAGTTAAAAATAATTAATATTAATATTATGTATATATTAGTGACATTTTGTTCATATTTTTCTTATTTTATCGATTTTTTTGTAATATAGAAGAAATGGTCGATTTACTCCTCATGTCGATGTCGAATTCATGAAAACTTGGATATGTCGATGGAAATGTCGACATGTTGACGAATATTTTAAACCACGGGTAAAAGTAGGATATTAAATTTTCATACACATATCGATATTTGATCAATTTCTATATATTCATAGATTAACATGATGAGGGTGATTTACACGGAGCCACAAAAATTTTGATTAAAAAAATATCAACTTAATATAGACATAATAATAATAATATCAATAAATTTTTAATTGTTTAAAAGGAGAGAAATAGTTCTTTGTTATTTTAAATATTAGTTATGAATTTTGCGCACTTTTAGAAATTTTCACAAATATTCATCAATATCGATACTTCCTTAAATTGAGACATGGACATGTTGATCCAGATCAATATTTGATATTTTTGTTTTTTTATTTACTCTTTCTAATGTCCGCAAAAGAAATAAATGCATAAATATTTTAATAAAATTTAAAAGTTAGTTTTCCTTAATTTTTTATAAATAACAAACAAAATATGGATAAAAATGGTACATCTCAACTATGAATCCAAACTTTGATCCAATAAGTCAAGACTATAGACTATAGAATAACGATAAAAGATAAATTCAAAATTACCAAATTTGTACTAAACACACCCTCTTATTATTATTTCATAAATGGGAGTAGGTCAATTTTTTTTTCCTTTTTTTTTAGCAAAGATATTTTATTTTAAATCATGACGGGGATGAAAAATTCTTTGAGGGTTACTTTTTGTAGTACTTGTTAGGTATATAATATCACTTTAGATATCAAAATATTTTTTCTTATTAAAATGACCAAATAAGCAATTCAACGTTGTTTATTGTGATGGATTATGACCTATCTTGAGAACTGGTATGGATCCAATATAGTTGAGCTATACGTAGCGAGCTATGCGAGGAAAGACCTGCATAAAGGGACGAAACACTTCGATGACACTTAATTCACTAAGAAGCTAATCTAAGGTCTCAAGACGAGGAGTAAGATTTCATACTTGGCATACACGAAATTGATGCTCCTATATATATAGGTGAAATGAGATGGGTCTCACGACTTGGTTCCATTAGAACGTTTGAAGGTTTGTTACACGATTAGAGACGGTTGGACATAGTACCTCGATGCCTAACATTTTCAAGGCTGGTTTGGTCGACCTATTTGGATACCACCTTGGTCGAGCTTAATAGGTTAGCCACTGTGCATTTCCAAGGTATTATCTCCCGTGATAAGGATGACCTATTCGTTTTATCTATCTTAATTCACCTCCTTTCAAGGTTTATGGTTTAGTTAAATTAAGTAAAAATAATATTTTAAATATTTTTGTAAAATTAAAATATTATTTTTAAAGAATGAACAAAAATCAATGGTAGCATCTTTGACTTTGAAGATTATATATATGTATATCCTAAAGTATGGATTTTAGAAAATTTAATAAATTTTAAATACAAATACTAAACAAAAAAAATATAACTCAACAAGGAGAATCAATTTTTATCATAAACTTTTAATTTTATCCAATTGCACCTAAAATTTGAATAAGTAATGTAATTTTTAATTTGTGCTTGAAAAAGTGTCGTGATCTATACTTTAATAAATTTTGGTTTGAGCCAACCAGAATATAGTTTAATAGATTAAGACACATATATCCAATCATAAAATAGTTCGAATCAACCCACATTGTATTAAAAGGAATAATAATAATAAATTTTCATTTGAGGAATTATTACGAAGAGAATTCTCATGTGGATTCAGTTGGGTTTTTTTTTTTTTTTTGAGTTTTTGGAAAAATTATGGATTTTGTGCATTAATCAAATTAATTATGTGAAAATTTTTATTTTCATTAATGAAAAGTGCGGTGATCTATACTAAATTTTCATTTGAAGAATCATTAGAAGGGGAATTCTCACGTGGATTCGAGTTATTTTTTATTTTTTATTTTTTGAGTTTTGGAAAAATTATCGATTTCGTGCCTTAAATTAATTATGTGAAAAAAAATCAATGTGAAAATAAATAAGTTTTCATTAATGAAAAGTGTGCGATCTATACATTAATAAATCTTTTCAATTTTTTAGTTTTGGCAAAATTATCACTTTTGTGCCTTAATCAAATTAATGATGTGAAAAAAACTTTATTTTCATTAATGATTTGTTTTTAGATTTTTGCTTTCTTTTTTATGAAATTAATAGATGAATAATATATCTTTTGATTTCTACTTTATTTATTTAATTTTGATTTTGAGTTGCAAGTACTTTCAAAAAGCCTATTTTAGGCTTTGGTCTCATTTTTATCTCATTTTTTTTTCCTTTTGATAATATTTTTTTATAATTTTAACCTAACATTTCACCTTTTTTTTTTGTCTTGAAAAAGCATTAAAATATTTTCATTGGGCATAAATTTTGTAAGGAACAAAAATTAATCACTATTTTAAAGCATAGAACCAAAATTACAATGATCAAAATGTACAAAAGTAAAAAATACCGAAAATAGTTTTAAAAAAAGCTACTGCACATTTTATTTATTTATTTAAAAAGGTATACGAGGACCATAATTGGTTAATTGAAACTTAGGTATCTTTTTACACATTTTTCTAATTCAATAATAATTAGTTAACTTGATTTGGTTTTACTTGTTTCCTAGTTAACATCAAAGTTTTGACTTTTGAGAACAAACCATCCAAGTTTCTAAAGAGGTCAAAGAATTGAAAAAAAAAAAGCAATGCATTTGTATTTTAATTGTTGATTACAACAAAATATGATTATCCTATTCTAACCTGCTTTTCAGGGAACAAAAAGCCAACCCCCAACCCTAAAAAATCATCAACAAATTTAATCCAGTCATTCAGTGTTCATCGAGCAAATGCTTCACTGGAAAGAAGAACCATTAACAGCCAACAGATCTTTTGCTGGTTGAAGCAACGCCACCGCTCCCCGCTCGGAGCTCGAGTACTTTCGATATATAACTTGAAGCTTGCTCTTGCCTGCTACTCCATGGTAGCCCACCAAAAGCTTGGCACAATCACTGATTTTGAAGAGAACAGAAATCAGCAAAGTTGCATAGTAAGCACAAAATGTCTAAAAACAAAACAAACTGAGAATTGGTTTATAGAAATTCACATACATTATCTGAGGCTCTGAGAAACCAGTGTGTAGTTTGAGGGTTCCATCCCAAGCCGGGGTTTTCTTCAGCGTGCACCGGGCGGCGTAGACTGCCGAGGCGGCAATCATGGACGGGCAGTACGTTATTCCGGTGTTGTAATGCATTATGCCAAGTTCGGCCAGAAAATACACCAGATTTTCCATCTGCAAGCAAGCAAATTCAACGTTCAAAATCAGTGAGTTGTTATAGTTTAAACCCCTCAAAAGTAGCAAAAGTTTCTTTTCTCGACGCACCTCATGATCGGAGTCTTTCGACGCCTTGATGAATCGAGCCAGAAAAACGTATGGTGTAGGGACAGTAAAGGTCCATTCCAACTTGCCAAGTATCTTTTTCTCCATCACTAGGATCTGTTTATGAGTGTAAGCTCTATCCGAAAGGCACACAAAGTCATTTACCTGCAAAGAAAGTCATCTAAATTAGTACATAACTTCTAATCAAGGTAGAACTTTAGTCACATCTCGATATAGTCTTACCTCTGGCGCCCAGATTTCTTCGTATTTGGAGGCGATGAGCATGGCACCAATACCCACCAACTGCAATTCCCCCCTTGCAACGAGCTTTGCCGCAAGGAATCGGTCGATTATGTTAATAGTGAGGTAGAAAGTCTCAGGTGAAAGCTCGAACTTGTTGTGCACATCAACCAACCAATCAACCAAAATAGCCCTCATTGAACTATTTATATCAGGTTGTGAATCCATATAATCATGAGGCCTATTCTCATTCTACACAAATTACACACACAACAAAGAGATTCATTCAGCAAATTTACTCCAACATGCCGATTCGTAGAATAAACCGAGACGAGATAATCAAATTCATTCAATACATACCTCAACTTCCTTATAGAACTTGTAAATGTCCTCAACATATTCAGCTGCAGCCAACTCATTACCAACATCTGCAGCATCAATATCAAGAATCTGCTCTTTTGGTTTCTTGGCTATGCCACAAGCAGCCTGCAAAAAGGAAAGAAAAGTTTTAGAGATTATCTCAAAGAACCAAACTAGATTTTTCAGTTTTTAGGAGTGCAGAAAAATTCAACTACCTTGCTTCTAGCAGTTAGGACTGAAGTGAGAGTCTGAGTATTTTTCTTTGAGGCTCCTTCTCCGTCCTTTTTCTTGTTTCCACATTTTTCTTCCTTGCCCCGATCCTCCTTCACGCTATCTGGGCTTATCTCGATTACTTCGGGTTTCGGTTTAACAACTACTGCCTTCTTCTGTGCTTGCTTGGGTAGAGCTACTTTCTTGTTAGCTGCTGCAACACCAGCATCAAGTATGGGAGCGGCCCCATCTACAGTCACAGGCACTTGCTTCTGCATTTCAAAAAGAAAATCGAAGAATTATTATCCGACCAAGACAGAGAACAAGATTTGATGAATGATTTGGAGCAGGGAAGAGACCTTGTTGTTTTCTGCTTTTGCAGCCGCTTGGGCATTGGCAAGCAACTGAGCACAGAAGCTCCTTGTAATTGGGCGATTCACCTTTGCATCAATTCCTCGAACAGTTACCAGGTTTCCGATATCGCCCAATGCTCGGCGGTTCGCTGCCCCGCCCTTCGCCTGCTTCCCTCCGCCTACCACCGCCTCACCTTCCGCCCCATTGAAACAAATCCCAATCAGCATGAAAGAAAGAGAAAAGAAAAACAAGAAGAAGCCATGAAATTCCACAAAATCCATCCAATTACCCTTTAGTTCGAACTAAAATTTTGAAGTTCTTCACCCTAATCCGAACCCCCAAAAGTTATAAAATCATACATAAAAAGTAAGAACAATAGAAGGGATAATTTCTACAACACCGTTCAGAAGAAACCCAGAAAAAGAAGAAGGGAAAATTTCGGATACCTCTGATTTGTTGTGGAACAACTGGTCTTGAAGCCATTTCTGAAATCCCAAACAAAGAATTCTTCTTCTTCTTCTGCCTTTCGATTTCTTGAGATCTCTCTCTCTCTCTCTCTCTCTCTCAAAAATCTCTTCGATATATGGAAGAGGAGCCATGCCCCTTTTTGAAGCTACAGACCCGACGCTTCCCTCACAACGGTCGGATTCTCTCGAAATCGTGGCCGTTGGATCTCGGGATGATCCAACGGTGTTGGGTCGTCAGGAAAATTATATCCGTTGTGGTTTAAAGAAAACTACCGTTTGTGGGGAAAAAAGAAATATTAAATAAAGCAATGTAATAAAGGCTGATACGGTTGCTGGCTCAGGCATACGTGGCAGTTCATCAGTGGATAGTGATGGAAATTAAATGTGACGCTGGGTGAAAATAAAATCTAAATGTAATTTTAGTCTTCCTATTTCATGTCTAAAAATTCATTGATTTGAAAGAAAAAAAAAACTAATTAATAGGTAGTTCGTCGAATAAGTGTCTGAATGAATTAATAAAAAAACTTATTAGATTATTAAAATTATTATTATTAAAATTATTATTATTATTTAGTATAGACATTAGTATAAGTGTTGAATGAATTAATAAAAACAACTTATTAGATTATTAAGGTTTTTTAAATATAGACGTTGAATAAATATGATTCTGAAAGTTCACAAATCTATATAAAAACTAAATAAACATAATTATAAAAATTTAAGAATCAAATTTATAATTTAATCTTAAATCTTAAATAGTTCTAATATGTCTCCTAACAAGTTTCTTAGAAAATGGTAGGTTCAAATTTTTTAATTGTAATCCTAAAAAGATCTTAAATAATATATAAATGAGAATATCACAATTAAGGATTTCCCATTAAAAAAGTAGTCTTTTTTTTTCACTATATACCATGTCGGTAAATAAAATCCAAGATAATAGGAAAAGAAAATCAATGAACCAAGTTTGTTTAGTTGGTTTTATTGCTGATAAAAATTAATTTTATGGTTAGCTTCTAAACTTTGAGATTGTGTTTGTTAAGTATTTGTATTTTAAAAAGTATTGAATAAATTCATCCATTATTTATTCTGTGCCTATTTTAAATTTGCTGGTATAATTTTAAGACATCATTTGATAATCATTTTGTTTTTAGTTTTCAATTTACAAAAATTATGCTTGTTTTTGTAATTTCATTGGTAAGTTTTTCAACTCTTTGAAAATACATTTCAATTGTAAGTCAATTTTCAAAAACAAAAAACTTTTTGAAAACTTTTTTCCCTTAAAAAATTGGCATATATTTTGAAAACGATTATAAGAATTATATAACAAAACAAAGAAACACATAAGTAAAAGAATGTTTATAAACTTAATTTTCAATAACATAAAGTTTAAAATAAAATGATTATCAAACCAACGGACCTAAATTTACAAATTTGATTCATAAACTTTCATGGTTATGTCTAACAAATCTTTTAACTTTAAAACAAAATTGATAGATATCTAAACTATAAAAAGTTGTAACATAATCTCTGTACCTTAAAAACTAACGTCATCAAATTTTCAACTTTGTGTTGAATAGCCGACTTTAACATAGGTCTAATAGGTCGATGATCTATTAGATACAGATTGAAAGTTGAAAGACCCATTAAATGTAAAATTTTAAAAACCTATTAAATACTTTTTAAAATTCAATAACTTATTAGAAGCTATTCGAAATTTAATAACTTATTATCTACGACCCTACATATGACTAGAACATAGTATAATTGATTTTCCAAAATCACCACTCAAGTGGTACGTTTTATGTTCCCTTAAAATCAATTTTTTAATGGCCAAACATGATTCATGGAAATTGAAGTGATTTTGTTAATCATAAAAGTGATTTTAAGAATGTTATCTTAGAAACCAAAAACATTGCTCTTGTTGCTATGGTAATTTCATATCAAGAAGATTTAAATATATAAAAATAATTATTATAAAAATGATAAGAAAGCAAAGTTTAGCATTTTTTTTTTCAAATCTTATTGTGTGTTTCTTATATCTCCCAAACAAAATAATATCTTTCTAAGAAAAATGCTTATTATATAAGCAGTTTGAAGGGTGCTTTTTCCAAAGTGTTTTAAGTATTTTTATTTATTTATTTTAAAATTTCTGAAGCTATTTTTAATTATTTAAAATTTTAGAAAACATTTCTTTTTACCACTGCTGATGTTTAAAAAAAAATCTTTTTACCAATGTGATAAGTTTTGACCGTTTATTGTTTTAGAAATCCTAATTTTAAATATTTTCAAATTATTCAACACAACGTTACAATCAATACATTTCTTAAAATGCAAACATTACATTATATTAAAGAGTTTCCGTTATATGTAAAATTTACATTAAAATTTTGAAAGAAATACTAAAATGATCACTTTTTAACAATACATGAACCAAAATAATATTTTTTAAGTACAGGGACTAAAATTAAAAGTATAGGAACTAAAATTAACATTTTCAAAATTTAGAGACAGATAAATCAATGTTGAAAGTTCCTGGACTAAAATAGTATTTTTAACCTTTTTATTATTATTATCATTATTTACTTTTTCTTTAGGTTAAAAAATACTTTTGTCCTTATGCTTTTATTGAAATAACGATTTAGTCTTTAAACTTTAATCGGTGATTATTTAGTGTTTGTAATTCCCTTGAACTTTAGTATGTAACAATTAGTCTTTGTAGTTTAAAGTTTGTAACAATTTAGTCCCTATTGTGAAATTTTTTGTCAAGTTGCTTATATATATAGATTAGTAAACTCATGAATAACCAAATGTGTTTATAAATTACAAAGATTAAATCAACTGTGTTATCGAAATCGACATCTTAATTTTGATGAGATTTTCTGTGGTAGAAACTATATTGTTACAAATTATAAACTACGAAGACTAAATTGTTACATGCTAAAGTCCAAGTACTAAATAATTATGAAGATAGCAAGAGTAGAAAACTGTTCAACATTTTATTTTTAGTTTTCTATTTTAAAAATTAAGCTTACAATCATATTTTGTTGTGAACTTTTTAAAAATATTTTCAAAATTTAAATCAAATTTTAAAAACTAACGAATGTAGTTACTAAAAACTTATTTTTATTTTTAAAATTTTAACTAAGAATTGAAATGCGTTTTTGAAGAAAGGTGAAAAACATATTAAAAAAATAGTGAGGAAACATGTATAATTTTTATAAATAAAAAATAAAAAACGAAATTGATATCAAACCAGCCTAAAAAAATTTAGACCGAGAAAAAAAAATCAGCAAAAGGGAAAATGAATCACAAATGAACCAATTGATTATAAACTTGAAAGCTTTGTTACAACAGATGATTAGGCAAATAAAAAAGGATGCCTAAAACAACTCAACCTAATTAGTGGAAAAAAAAGTAAAAAAAAAAAATACAATAAAAATAAGCCAAATTTTCTTCACTCACAACCCATATTACTATCACTCCTAAATAAAGCTTGCTCTCAAAATTAATTCCAAAAAAGAAAAAAGAAAAAAAAACTTAGATTTCTAACAGAAAAATCAGTTGGTTAGCTTTTACTTCTATACTTGATCATCTGGTCCAGCCAGCATCACCTGTCACAGTTTATGCTTTTCAACTTCAGAAGTCATAAACAATAGAATTTATATACGAAAACGAGATGGGGAAAGATTAGCAAACACGAAAATTCCACAGTCGAAACGGGGTCGGATCTTAAAGAATGAAGATAAAATGGATGAATATGATTAGAAGAAATTACTTACATTGCAGTCGTTGGCGTATTTCCTAGCAAGCATGATAGCAGCATTTCTTTCCCGCTCTGATTCGAATGTCAACACGAACGAGAGTCCCTTCCTTCCTTGCCAGAACAGTGCCTTGGTTGCGGTGCTTCGGTCATCTCGAACTCCGCATAACTAGAGTCCCAAGGGAGATGATTAGAAACACATGAGAGACAAAATGGTGGGTAAATGCAGAGGAAAAGACCGTTGGAAGATCGTCAAAATCAGATTCAAGTTTGAAGTAAAGACCAGTATCTTCATCTCAGTATTATGATACCTGCATCGACGAGGAATAATTTTCCCGAGCTTTCGTAATCCAGCCTCTTGATAGCTTCATTCTCATTTTCCCAACATGAAACACATGAACAGAATGTGATGCATAATCTTGCCCATTCATTTGGGATATTGTAACCTGCAGATGCATAATCAAACTTGAGAAACTATTGTCGACAAATGTCAGGCATGAGCGCCCTCATAATCGATCGACGATCATAATTTCATTGCCGAAATTCTCACCCATGAGAAGCTAAAAAATAAACTATAATTTCAATTATCGCATCAGTTAGCTTTAAGGGTAGAAATGAGTAAACCAAATAAAAGTATAACATGATAGAACTTTTCTACTGCTTGTGTATATATTGAATGAATTACATCAGTAAACTAAATTAAAGGGAGATGAATTACATACATTGAATTCGGAGTTTGATTTTCGCAAAAGCATCTCAACATAAGTTCCGATCCCTGCAGCTGTCAAAGGTAATTGTGTTGGTCTCTAACCGGGCAGGGTGGATGGAGAGAGGGAAAGATACTATAAATTAAAATTGGTAAAAGATGACTCGTAAATTTCAATAAGAAAAACCAACCAGGATCGATGGGACCTGTTGTCATTATGTCGAGTTTTTGGCCATTAGACACTATCTCTACTTGTAAGGTTCGCCCAACATCAAGCGGTTCCAGAGCATAGATCGATTTGTCTGCGCCTGATGAGGAGAAGACGAGACGGTTAAAGTGGGAAACAAGAAAAACTAATACTGTCAAGAATACACTAAACAGAACAATGTAAAGGAAAAGTGAGTAACTGATAAACCAGGTAAAACTAGACCAGAGAGATCAGAAAACAGATAACGAGAAGAAATTAAATAAAATGGGACAATGTAAAAGTTAACTTGAGCCGATACAAAAAAATGGCATTCTCATATATCAAGTCCACAATGTACGAAGTCGGTCATACCGACCAAAGGGCGGGCTCAGAGTAAAAGTATGAAAAGTTGTAGAATAGTACTGCAGCATATTATACGCAAACAGTTCTTTTACTTAACAGTTTCTACAAAATGTACCTGAAATGACTTGCTTCCAGCTGCAATCTGATGACATTCGATACCACTGAATTGAACATTTCGAAAGTGGGGGTGCTGCATCTGAGGCACATTTGATTCTCAAATATGAACCTAGAGTTTCAGAACCATCCAATACGTATAAACAAGACTTGTTCTCTGCGGCCCTTTTGCATATTGTGAGCTGGATAAATAACAAAAGCGAGGTTAGCAAAGGTGGTTGGTTTTTCCACATAAAAAATGTTTTATTTCTACAATATTTTGCCACACATTTACATCTAAATAATCCAAACGTAAAAGCACAATTTCTTAACATGCCTCTCTTTGAAGCTTTGCCGAGATTATAGACTTCTCTCTAATTGTAGCTCTTAGTGCACGAAGCTCGTGTTCCATGCCCATAACCTATGCATATATAAACACAAGTTCAAGTCATCAAGTGACTCCACTGTAAGATGAGTAACTACTCTGTAATTGCATACTTAGTGACTGCGATGACTCTGGATGGTAACTAACACTGTGACCGAGCAAGTCGTTGATAAAAGATTAGCTCAACATGGGTAGTGAGGCAAATTTATATCGAAAAGGGACATGTTGCTAAAGATAAAAGACTTTGTCTCTAGATTATGGCAAATTGGAAGCTTTGATCTGAACCAAAACATATGATCTCACATGTGGACTCTATAAACATTTTTTGGTTTTTTAATACATTTTTTGTAATTCAAACCAATTTATGCACATTCGACTAATCTCACTGCACAATCTCCTACAATAATTGATTGTCGAAAAATTTATAGGATTTTAATATCCTGAGTAGGTGGGTTTAAACTAAACCCATTCACACACTCCAATGATCACTGGGATAACCCCACCCAGATACTACTATTGAAAACTTACATCAATCAATGTTTCTTCTCTCTTTTTTTTTTTTTTTTGTATCTATAAGTGTCCACGCGCACCTGATCAAGTACGAAACTAAAACCACCAAACCACCAAAATAATATTGAAATGTAAAAGGTTGGAGAACTATAACTCTCAAGTAATTTGAGGTACTTGGAACTTCCCCCTTTCTTGAGTATTCTTACTCAAAGCCTAAACCACACTAAACAAATTGTCTAACCTTCATCTCATCGCACTCCCTCTATTTATAACCAATAACTTGGCTAATAATTAATATATCCTTATTAATCTAATTACCTTGATGGAAAGGGCATTCCTCTCATTAATGTTTTTTTTTTCTTTTTCATTTTTGATATCTATAAGTGTCCAGGCTAGTTTACTCGGGCTAGTTTACTCATAACTTGATTAAGTCAATATTAACACGTAAACAAACAACCAAGTTAAAGTGAGCACCTTGCTTGGTTGATGCAATAGTTTAATTCTTCTAGCCTCTTGAACTTCGTCTACAAGTCCCTCCACATCCTGTCCGTACGACATAACACAAAATTATAATAATCACAAAGCAGTAAGAATCTTAAACTAAAACAAACTACTAAGTGATGCTAAAAATGAAAGAAGACTACCACTAATATTCCATTTCTTTTCTTATTTGGATAAGAAACAATTTTATTGATGTATGAAATTTACCAAAGAGAAAGGAAGGGGGAAAAGAGAAAAACCCAAACCAATGGAGTTACAAGAAACTTCACTACTTTCCATTTCTAATTTGTTCAATGAGCTGATCATGCATACATCTTCATAAACAAAGGAGAGTTAATTCTGAATAAAATATCTAACATTAAAAGTGTAATTAACAGAAATTATGAAGAAGAATAAACTTGAACCTGTTTTTTCGATTCTTGGGAATTTTGTTCTTGTTCATCAAGAGCTTCCCCAATTCTCTGCACAACCGCTCTTGCGCTTTCAATCTCAGCACAAGCAAAAGATTTCTCTTGGTTAACCAACCTCTTAGCATCTTCAGAAGCCTAAAGTAAACAAAATAAAAAGATGTCATTTTAGTTTGGCACTGGTAATAAGAAAAACAGAAAGAACAAATAATAACTAACTTGTCATGTAAAAGATCAAGATCGTAGTCGTAGTCGTAGTTTACCTACGGCATCTGACCATATCCACAAATATAATATATGCTGATAGTTTTTCAGATAAATAACACATTGAAGACAGGTAAATAGTATTAGAATGTTACTCAAGTGACCTGTTTGAGAAAGGTTGCCAGCTTTTTCACTTCAAACTTTTCTTGAATCAATTCTCCTTCTTTTTGAGTCAACTTAACAGCTAGAGCTTCCACCTAAATTATTGATGATGGCAAGAAATATTATTTATAAATTATTAAATGCAGTTGGAACAAAGAAATTCTTGGAGGAAAACAAAAACAGAGTAAAAGGTCAGAACTTAGCTGCAAAAAGGGAGGAATTATAATATGTTAAAACAATCTCACTCTTTAAATTGCACTTATAGTGATCAACTTGCAGGGTATTTACTAAAGAGTGAGAACAGAAATAGAGGAGGAGAGAAAGTTACTATTAGGAACTTTCTACAACTTCTGCAAGTTTGATCTTTTCAAAGTGATCGGCAAACTTGTCAGCAAATAACGTGCACCAAAAACAAGATAAATGAAAAAGAGAATGAAAAGATTTTGTATAACAGTTTGAACAACACATAGAGATAATATCTTTGCCCCGATGACAGAATAAATCTTGTGTGTGAGGCTTTCAAGATCAAACTTTAACTGTTAAAACAACCAACTGAAAATGAAAAGGCATGAGAAACTAACCATGGAGATAGCTTTCTCCACATCCTCCTTATTTCGCCCAGGCAATCGACCTTTCAAATACTCTAATGCATCTCTAAGCTTCTTCAAAAGAACATGTCCCTCCAGTGAAGGTACTTCTCTGAGTTTTGCCTGAATCCCAAGAAAGTCATTTACCAGTTAGTTGAATGACCTTCAAAGATGAGAGTGGGATAGTGATACAGAGCTGGACCAATAGAAGTTTAATTGCCACAATATTCTTTCACTAGTAAATAAAGTAGTTTGAACCTCATCAGACAGCTTAGCAGCAGAAGCCAAGTTCTTGTCGAATTTACATGCAAGGTCACGAACCGAGAGTCGCTTATGCTGCTCTGACAACTGGGTAGTTTCCTGTCCAATGACCTCCTTAAGAGACGGGCCCTGGTCCTCATCCTGAGGCTCTTCCAAAATCTGATTGTCAGGTCCTAACTTATATTTTGGGAATTGATTGGAAGCAAAGCTAACATCAACTGAAACTGGCAAAATTGCTTCCATATGCACAGTTTCTACAAACTCGGGACTAATCTTCGTCATTGATCCAAATTCAATTCTCTGTTAAAGCAAGGAGATAGATTTTCATAGTAAACCAAAATGATGAAATAAGAACAATCCCATGCCCCGGATGGGAAAAGATGCACTCATTTAGTTCATATTTCAAACATTTTTCAGTACCTAACAGCAGATCAATCAAATAAAATGTAAATCAATGGATCGATTCAGAGATGAACAGTTCACAACAAAATATAAAAGGAACAGAAGGGAGCTCACAGGCGAGGGAGAGATTATCGTGAGTAATAGTAGAGGAGACGATAGCTTTATACGACGTAAAAAGACATCTCATTTCACAAATTCAAAGATGTAGTAAGTAAACCAAACTGTGGAATATTGGAAGCATACTTGTCTGTTCTTTTATTATTATTTTGTACATAGGATAGGGTATTGGACCAGCCAGGTCTTTCCTTATATTTTCAGAAACTGGACCAGATTTTCACCAAATCGTTCCAAAAATCCACCAAATTCCAACTAAATTCCAATGGTTCCAACTAAAATTCTCTCTCTCTCTCCCCCAAGGAAGAATGTTATTGTCCAACCCACATCCAAAAGATTTTCATACCCAGAAGAAGAAATCAACCCTCAAACCCATTGTTCACAAAATGCAGCCTTCTATTCCTGTAAAAGAGCAGAAACTTTCCAGGACAAAAACTGAAAACACAACATTCAGAGTAAACAAAAAAGAAACTCAGTAGCTACAATCCAAAAACTCCAATCCACATCACACAATCTCTCGTTCTAAACAATTAAGACAAAATCAACACAGGAAGAAGCAAACAACACATTCAATAAAAAGAAACCCAGAAGCCAAAAAGCACCGACTGGCTGAGAATTCACCTCCAACCCTCAAACTAAACCTAAAGCTTGAAAAAAGTGCTTTCAAACACTCAAAGCAGAGAATGTAAGAGAGAAATAGTGAAAACCCAGATGATCAACAACAAAATGCAGCTCAGAAAACCAAGAGAACTTACAGATTACAGGCAGAATATGATCAAAAACATGGAACCAAGCCAAACCCAGATCACAAACGAGAGGCTCTTCCAGATAGATGAGAAAGAGAAGGGGGAAAAACAAAGAGAAGAAGAAAAAGGGAGGAGGAAGAGGAAGAATCTAAAGAGAGGGGGTGGTTATGCCTTGCTTTTTGTAAAGGGGGAAAAAGAGAGAGAGAAGAGAAATGCAATAAAGCCTCTAAAAATGACCCAAAGACCTGGTTTCTGTGTCACTGGGTCTGGCGTGTCTCCCTTTGTCAGCAAAAATCGAAAAAAAAGGAATAATTTTTGCTCTCCAGTTGCTTCCCTTCCTTCTCCTCGTTAGGATTTCTTGACCACTGTCACGTGTTACTGTAACACAACTTTTGTAGTATTCAGACAGTACCCTCCAAAACAAAATCATACCCATTTCATAAAAGTATTTGTTTTTCTCAAAATGTATAGAATTTGTATTCTTTATCAAGTAGAAAATTCAATTTGTTGATTTTGATGTGAATTGCTTTATGGGTTTTGTTTATTGATTAAACATTTCATAATATTGAAGGTTTGTTGCCTAATGGTTTTGTTTTATGTTACTAAGAATTAAACCTTTTTCTTAGCCTTAGGGAAATTTTAGAAGCTAAAAATAGTATTTTTCAAAGAGCTCTTCTTAGTTCTAAAAATTAGCTAGTGTTTCCAATTTTTATTTTAGAATAGTGGAAATTTTTTATATAAAAACAAAATTAAAAGAGAAAATATACCAACACGATTGTCAATAACTTAATACCAAATATATTCTAAATCATTTAATATTTATTTAATTCGAACAACTCAACCAACACGATTTGATTTTTTATTTTTTTTTACTTATATCTCTTTAATTACACTTACAATAAAAATAACAGATTATTCGATTTAATGGAGAAAAAGCAATCAAAATTTGATAAAATAAAAAAATAATAATAATGAAGGTAAAGTAATTTATTATTATTATTTATTTTTTTAAAAAATACTTTTCCAATTTCCATGCTTCACCTTGACACCATCATTGTTCCCCCTTTCTCATGTAAGGTAAAAAAAAATTAAAAAAAATATATATTTGTTGGTTAAAATATATTTTTTTAAGGGAAAAAAACAGTGAAAAAGAAAGGGCTGGCAGTGAATATAATAAAGCTGACACCTCACGCGCCGGCCCGCCATATCCGGTGGGTCCCGCCCCGATTCAGTATCATAATCATGCCTTCTTTAGGTGGCGCGTGGAGTTTTGCGCGTGGGATTCTCACCCGAACCGTTTGGCGGACGGTACGGCCACCGCTAGAGTCCAAATAAATACCTTACATCCGCAATTTACGGTAATGCCACAAGCATTAAAAAAAAACTTTTTTTTTCTTTTATCTTTTTTAAGAAAATCAAAATTTACCGAAGTTAAAACTTTACGAGTTGTATTAGTTTCATCGTTCTACTAAAAAAAAAAAAGTTATATTAGTTTCATCGTAATTTTTTTTTATTTTATCGAATTGGACCATAAACTTAGATAAATATTATACTTTTAATCCATTACTAATTTTAATATTAAGAAACGTAAAGACTCTAAGATTCACTAAATTTAATAAAATTAACTTTCTATGAAATTAAGTTTGATTAATCTTGACAACTGAGTAACCTTATTAAAATAAATAAATTTAACTAAAAATTAGCTCTACCATTTTTTTTATAAGAAATTCTATTAATTTCATAATAAATTTATGTTTTACGATTTGGAATATTTTGTTAATAACTCAAATGAAAGCTCATCATAGGATAAAGTTTGCAACCTAAGATAAAGATTCCAACACTTATCTAAATTTAGGGTGTAAATGGATGAAATTTAAAGTTTAAAATAAAAATTGATACACCTTACCAATTTCAAGGTAAAAATTGAGTTTTCATTTTTTTTTCTTCTTTCTCGGTTTATATTGCATTTTCTATCTTTATTTTTTTACCATCGTATTAATTTAGTACTTATGATCTTAAAATTTAATAATTGTCTCTATCATTTGATTATTTATTAGATTTATACATTCATGTCGTTAGTGACAAGTAACAAAAATCAAACGTGACAAGTTATTTGTTCAAATGGCAAATGAAATTTATTATATGTAATTTTATTTTTATGATGTGGAGTCTAATATGTCACATAAGGTTTTTTTAGTACAACACAAGTGTGGGGTGCAAGGATTACAATTTATTTCTACAAAATAATAATTATTTTTAAAAAATTGTTTCTATTTTATATACTAAGGTGGATATGACTAAAAAAAAGAATTATTAATTACTAATATAGTCTCAACAATTTTTTGGCCTATTATATATTTTGCTGCAATTATATATTTTGCAAGTAAATAAACCATAAATAAATGTGGGAAATGTGTGGCAAAGAGACCATAAGATGGTGATGGAGAAAGGGAGAGGCTGTCACTATTATGGGATTGTTTGGTCAACTTTTTCTATTTTATGAGTTGACCAAATTTTCATACATATGATTTCATATAGTTCTTTAAAATTTTATTACAGTTTTTTTTTCTTTTTACATTATTTGACGATAAGAGTTTGTTTGATTTATGATTGGAAAATTAATGAGTCATTTTGAGAGTTATCTATCTCCAAGCAGAAGATCGTAGGTTCGAATCGTCACTCACACATGTTGTTATTGTATTGAAAAGGGATTGAAAATATGTTGGATATTTGTTCTTTTTAAATGTTGTATCTCAATTTTCTATAATTTCTCTTACGAATGATTTTTTTTAGCACACAACAATCATGAGCTCGTAAATAATGATTTCAAATGAATGATAATCTTAACGTTCACGAGTAATTCGATTCGTAGTTCTTAAAAGTAGTTTAGAAAATATAATGATAAGTTTTTTTTTTTTTTAAATAGCCTCCCAAACAAGTCGTAGTTTGCAATAATAAAATGATGTTTATTATTATTTTTTAAAAAAATACGTGAAAGTATTTTGAAATGGTTTTCAGAAGCCTTTGCATTTAAATATCAAAAATTCAATGATTAATTTGACTTTCATCATGTATTTTATAAAATTATCTTTGAACTTTTAATACTTTTAAATGGATTAAATTTTCTAATATTTTAGTTTAGAGTTATAAGATGATTACTATAACTACAATGCATTTTGTTAATTTTATTATTTTTTGTATGAAATAAAAAGGTATGGAGATATAAATAAATATGAAATTCGTTGGAAAATTTCAAAGTCAAGGATTGACTTCATAATAATTTGATATTGACATCTCATTCCTCTCAAAATCTCTTTATTTATGTGTTGTCAAATTCATAGAACATAAAATATATAAAAAAAAAAAGAAAAATAATACAACAAATATACTCACATACCCAAACACCAAATTGTAAAAGAAAAATCTATAATTTTGAATTATTATTAATTTGGAGAGAGAATACATTTGATTAAAGAAACTAATAAATTAAACAAAAAGTGCATAAATGAAAGATAAATGAATTTTAGGCTATCACATTGGCTCTTATAATGTCTTTATGTTCATTTTTTTATACTTTTTTTCACAATAATTTAGTTTTTCGACTTTTAGAAGTATAATAATCAAGTCTTTTAAGTTGAATTTTTTATTAAAATATTGATATAAAAACAGTCTATGTATTAAATATGACAAGGGAATAATGAGACAAAATTTGATATATATAATCCAAAATCAAATTGGTTTAATTATTTGTTAATTCATAGGACCCGATTTCACCAATACTTTTAAAGTCGAATACTCGAAAAGAAGTTTTAGATCAAGATGCTAAGTTCCAAAAACTAAAATAAGCATTACATTATTCATCTATTAAAATATTGTCAAAAAGAAAGAAGAAAAAACCACACACCACTAAAATGGTTGATTTTTGAATTTCATCAATTAAAATAGACATTTTAAATCCAGATCAAAATAAATTAAACTTAATTTCACTTATATTTGAATTCACTTTTAAATAAGTAAAAACATAATAATTATTACTAAACAAATATATATAAAAAAATACCAGAAACTAATTAATATCAAATTAGATTTTATACATGCATATTTCATTCATTAAAAAATAAATAAATAAAAAGATTAGCTTTGTGCCACGGGAAAATGTTCTAATCCTACAAAAATATGGATACTTCTCTAATTCACTGCTTGCCACAACCATCATATTAAAAATCACGTGAGATCAACCATTAAAAAATTATTTATAAATACATATGAAAAGAGAGTACGGTACTTCTGTGGTACTGAAAATCTTCTCGTGAGTTGGTTAATTAGATTTCATTGCTTTGGGAGGTTGCACAAAAATTGCAAGTATAATAAATTAGGTTATGTTGGGTTAGGTATAAATAATTTGATAATTAAGCAAATATTTTTTTCCTAAAAATAACAAAAAAGAATAAAAATCTTAGAGAGTTAGGAGAGACAACAACCAAACATTCTTGATCTAAAATTGAATGGTGTATGCCCCATCAAATTACTATGTCTCTATCAGTGGCAGACCTACATTATACACATGATTCATTCATTGCGTTTCCCAAAGTATTTCATATATTTATATATATGGTATAATAAATTTAGGCGTAAATACTTTTTTGGTCCCAGTATTCTCGAAACGTCAAATTTGATCCATATATTTTCAACTTTTGTTTCATTTTAGTTCCTATGCTTTTGAAACGTCTATTTTGGTCGTCAATGTACTTTTAAAGAGTGACCATTTTAGTCTCTTCATTTTTATTTTGGTCTTATTTCTTTTTATCATAATTTTAGCATGACATTTTACACTCTGCATTAAATGGTTTCTACTGTGTATACATTTTGTATTAAAATTTTGCAAATATGGACTAAAATTATCACTTTTTAAAAAGAACAAGAACTAAAATAGACGTTTTGAAAGCACAGTAACTAAAATGAATCAAAGTTAAAAAGACGTTTTAAAAATGTAGTAACCAAAATAATAAAAAATAGACGGACCAAAATATAGTATTTAAACCATAAATGTAACTTTCCAAGTGATAATTGATTTTTGAAGCTTAATCATGATTTTGCTTTGATAATAATTTTATTTTTAATTTTAGGTCTCCAAGCATAGTTTATTCTCTAACAAGCTTTTGTCTTATAAACTATTTTATAAACAATTTTTAAAATTTTAGCCGAATTTTAACTAAAATCTAAAAATAAAAGTCTTCAAAATCTATTTTTATTTTGAAATT